CAACAGAGCAAATCAAATAGGTAAGGCAAGAAATTAAAAGGAGAAGGTGAAAAAGTAAAAAGAGTCAACAAAAGGCCAATAACATGTCAATAATAAGTCAGTACATATCAGTTATAACCAGCAATGTCAATGGCCTCAACTCACCAATCAAGAGAAATAGACTGGCAAAATGGAATAAGAAGCAAAATCCAACAATATGTTGTATACAAGAAACACACCTAGTGCAAAAAGAAGCCCATAGACTGAAAGTGAAAGGATAGAAAACAATTCTCCATGTGACAGGAGCCCAGAAAAAAACAGGGGTAGCAATTTTATTTGCAGACAAAGCAAATTTCAAACCAAAACTGATTCTAGTATTATTGATGTAGGACGGTACTGTATCATACCTCTGTGAATGTAAAATATCTTGTACCTGCTTTATGATACATAGTAGTGACCGTGCTTTATCAGAGCTATGCTTAATGATATTACTCTAGAATGTTCTTTCCAAATGATGATTAAGATGCTTATAAAAAAATGGTGCCAGGTACCACAACAGCAACAGACCTTTGCTGTTTTCTGGATATTATTCTGTTCTTTGTTTTTGTTTTTGTTTTTGTTTTTGTTTTTGTTTTTTTAATGGAGTGTGCTGAATGTCTATAATTTTGTTCAGATGACTGCAGAACCTGGAAAAGCTGTTGCTGCCATCGATGTATAATATACTGTTATTAGTCTTTTTACATAAATATAAATATATATATACATATATATATGTATGTATGTATATATATAAATTGAATTTTGGGAAACTTTAATGGTGCTGCCAACTTTGGAAAAAGTCATCCCAATTTACTGTGTTGACTTGGCATTGCACAGAAATGGACAGCCATATTGGTCTAGAAATGTTAATTTATTTTTATTTTTATTTTTTTCCATGTGTACAGGGGTAACACATCATACTAAATATGTAAGGTCATATCTACATGGGTTTGATTACAGAAACTAATAAAGTATTCTCTAAATAATGAAAAAAGAATAAGATAAGACTATAAGAGCAAGAAGCAATTTAAATATGTTCGGGGACCATTTTCATCTCCAGAATTAAGGATTATTTTAATCTTACATCATTGCCTTTTCTCTTTTACTTTCCTTTTCAGTTTTATTTTAGGATTCCCTATTTTTAATGTTCATATAGAGGATTTTTAAATGAAATACCGAATAGTTTCTTTCGTGCGAAAACTATAATAGTACACAGGATCCTAATGAGATAATTAATAATGTGAAATAGGAAGTAAAGGGCTAAAGGTGTAGGGAAAGTGGGAAGGGTGAGGGAAAGGTAATAAGGGAGAGGAAAAAATATGAGAAACTGAAAAAATGGAAATAAAGTGTTTGTAAATGGGGAGGGGAGGAGGGGGTGAAGGGAGGGCAGGGACAAGGGGAAAAATGAGAATCAAGACCTATTATGTAAAGGTACAGAATCCCAATGATGAATGTAACTGTACTGTATACCTAGATTATACCAATAAACTCAATTAAAAAAATAGCAAAAAAAAAATAATAATTCAACGAAAATGATTTTTTTCTTAAGAACCCATGCTCTCCAAAATAAATTACAGCAGCCACCAACAAATCATCAATCACATCAGCTGGGTTCAGGCAATATCGATCCCTCACATGTCAGAAAAGGCCGGGATGAAAATTACTCAGAAAATCCAGGATATCTTATGGGACAGCACTGACACGGAAAGTGCTCATCAATAACCAACAGATGCAATCCAGATATGATCCCTACCTAGCAAGTCAATAAAGCGCCTATTCCTGTGTTCCTCACACGCCCTTTCCTGGCCTCTGAGCAGCTTCCGTGAGTTCTTCAGGGTTACACTGATCACGCAGTTGGTGCTGCTGGAGGCTGGGTTTGAATGAGCCCTTCTGGCTCGGGAATGAAGGAGCTTCTGCGGGTCACTGCGAGGGGCCAGCGGAACTAAATACTTCTAATACGATATCCCAGAACCACGAACCTGCCGGACTCTGAAAACCATGGGAGACGCCAAATGTCCTGGGCAGCGACACTGGCATTGACGGAGCCACTGCTCTGAACACCTCCGCAGTAAATACCTTGGAGGACAGAAAGACATAAAGTACGTAGTAAGGGGCTGGCTAGCCGGGAGGATGAGACAGAAATCAAACACATAAAACAAGCACAGGGCCAAGAGTAATGGTGGTAATGACTCCATTGTTTCCTGTGGTTTGGAAGGGTATATATAATCCTTGAGAAGATACATGCACCCATATGAGACATTTCCAGGTATCAAAAAGTTTCAAAGGTATTGATCATGTTAAAGTATTTTGTGACACCACCATTTTGGGCTGGATTTCCGGGTTCTTCTACCCCCTAAACCCTTGTCTTAAGTTTCCTTTTCCCCAAGACCACATCATTATATAGAATTGAAACTTGGAGCTTCTGCAAGGCGCAAACTTTAAAAGGCAACATGGCTTGCGATAGGTTAAGGACGGCCTACCCCACCCTAATGGGAAGGTCTTTGGCTCCAAGCCCCATAAATAGGCCAGCACTTCCTCATTTCTCTCTCTCTGCTCTTTCTCTCTGCTCTGCTCCCCTGAATAAAATCTCCAGTCGGTGCGATGGTGTGGGTGGGCAACTTTTTTGAGCTTCGCTGTTCCCTTTCAACTTCTAAGGAGTTTGAGAATTTATTTAATGCCAAATGAATTAGTTTTATCACCTGAGAAATTGCAAGCAAACAGTCCTAAGAAGTGAACCCAATAAAAAGATTTCACTGATAAATTTTCTGGCCCTTTGGCACAGCTGTTCTGACTGTACTGTAAGTGATCAACAGGTCTCAAAAGACTGCTACAAATCACTCCTGCATCAAAACAGGTAAACCATATATTTTTTGGATACTGAGGCAAAAAAAAAAAAAAGCAACCTCATATCCAAAGAATATCAGACTGCTTACTTTGCCCGAGTACCAACCATTCTAGAAATCATACATATTTTTAAGACATTTGTCTTTTCACGAATGCTGTGTTCATGTGCGCAACAGGCTTAGTGACTGTGCCTAAAACACAAGAGGCTACTGGCACTCTTTAACGACTGAGTTCCATTCCTGCGACTAGGTTATTTAATGACTTGGTCACTAAATAAGGAATTGTATATAGTATGTACATTACAATATTCAGAACAAAGAAATAGTCACAGGAAACTCCAACTTGATGACTTTGCTTTATCTGCATACCTCTTACATGCAGTACTGTAACAGAACATAAAACTACAGTACAGGACAGTACAATCAGCAAAAATTACAGTACTGTATAAGCAAGGTGTAGTGTACATAAAAAGACATTGAGGCTCTATCAACAAGATGTACAGAACTGCACATACACACACACACACACACACACACACACACACACACACACACACACAAAAGATGGGGGGGTAAGTCCAAACAGACTCGCCATAGTCATTAATGCAAACAGTCCTTAAGCGGACGGGTCGTTAAACGAAGAATATCTGTAATGGGAAGTGAAATATGGAAATTTAGAACACTGAAACTCTGAAAAGACGGGCCGTTTGCCCAAAAATTACAATTCTATTTAAGAGCTCCCTGTGCTCCAGGTGTTGGGCAACGCCTGTCACTGGGTTCAAACTCAGGGAAGCAGAGATGACCTAATTACAGCAGAATAAACTACTGTATTTAAGGCACCCTTCCCCTACTTTATGCTTCGCGTCCACCCCTGACTACCTCCAACCTCTCAGGTTCGCCCCTACTTCCCGCAGGCAACCGTGAGACGCGAAGAGCCCGCGAATCTCCAGGCCGAAGACCCACGGAGCCACACCAGCGCGATGCTCGGAGCCGAATGCACCGACACTCAGCAGCCTCTACCTCACCAAAAGCGCACACAGCCTTATCAGACTCTCACCATGAAAATAGCATCCATTTAAAGAGAGTCATGAAAGTCATCCCTCTGCCGGCAAAGGCCATTTCTCTTGTTCTAAGGGTACACAGGCGCCGCCATGTTGCTGTACGGAAACCGTTTCCAGGGAGAAATGGAGCGTTCAAGGCATTCTTCGGAGACGTAGAGCCCTCTGGTCTTCACAGCCAACTTTAAGGGTCAGGCTAGACTTGGCCAGGGACGCTCACACAGTCCAAGAATCGGTAGTGTGCAGCTCGGCGACTAGAAGCACCCCGCGCGCACACTTCCGGCGACTAGGAGCGGCGCTTAAGAATTGCGTATGCGTGACGCATGTGCGTGTGACGTAAGCGCCGGCGGAGATTTTAAAAATTCAAACCGACTTGGCGGGCGGAGACAATAAGACTTGTTTTGGCGGTTGCTGTCCTCTCTGGCAATCAGTTGTCCACCTCACAGAAATTCGGCCTCTCGGTCTCGTCAGGAAACTGGAAGGAAGGTAGGTAGTGACGCTGGGTTCATTCAAAACTACCCCAGAGGGAGAAAGTAAGGGTGTGGGGCAGCGTGTTAGTGTTTGCTGTCGTCAGAGGCCTGGCGCCGAATCTGCGAGGCGCTGGATTCAGAATCCAATGATCTCTCAAGCGAGAGGGAGGGGCAGGGCCCCGGACACTGATGAGAGAATGGAAGCTGGAGCGGGGAACCAGGGAAAGGGGTAGGGAGGGAGGCCGAGAGGACCTGCGTGAGGCTTTTTGCTCCTGTACTAACAGTGTGGCATCGTAGTGGCCGTGTCGGGAGTATCTGAAGTCTTCATCTTAAATCTTGAGAGTGCATTGTAAGTGGAGATCGGCGTGGACACGGGGGAGGGTGGAGAGGTCGAATAGGTGAGCGAGTGCATATTAAAGAAGAAGAAACAAAAGCCAAAACCAAGAAAGTTGTAATAATGAGTGTAAAAGCCTAAGGCGTGCCCAGAGAAGGAAGAGGATAAACTGTAAATGCCCTCTTTCCTGGAAGCCAGGGCCAGAGCTGAGAAGGCTGCTTGGATAGTGGCTGATGCCGCAGAGATGAGAGCGCTGCCGGCCAGGGCTCCTTGGGGTCTGAATCCAGCCCAGCTGACTGGGTTTCTGAGTTCTTTCACCCGCCTGCAACCAAGAATACTCAAAAATCCCGTAAGATGGACAAATCAGTTTGTTTACAATTTGACCAAATTGGGAGGGCAGCAATTTCGGGATACACAGCACTTGAATTTATACAAGTGAGCAGTTAATAAATGTTTGTGTGCATTGCGTACTTTAAAATGAAGTTAAGTAAGTATTCTTTGCAAATGAGGACTTGAGGATATCTGCATACCCAGGGGAACAAGTGAGAACCCAGGGGAAGCCCAGTGTAGGAGCATGTGCCTGCAATCTCTGCACTTGGGAGACTGAGGCGGGAGAGTTCCAGGCCAGCCCAGGATACATAGTAAGTTCAAAGCGAGCCTGCCTGGGCTATATAGCAAGAACCTGTCTCACAAAGGCCCAGAAGAAAGATGATCGTGAAGGAACAGTACACTTTTCCCTTCGTTCTGTTTGAGGATAAAGATAATAGCTGTTGCCTGATGTACCATCTACATCTAGGTTGTTCTTCTAACACTGAATTCATGAATGCAGGTCGTAAGCATGAAGCGCAGTTCAGTTTCCACCGGTGGTGCTGGCCGCCTCTCTATGCAGGAGTTGAGATCCCTGGACATGAATAAACCAGGCCTTTATACGCCTCAAACGTAAGTGTCTCCACCTGTGACTCTCTCCTGCCTGCCTCGTTGTCTTGGGAAAAGAAGTTGTAAAAATGGTAGAGAGATGTAGTATGAGTGATGTCCTGGTAAATCCTTTCTGCTTCCAACAGTACCTAATTTAGAACCAATGAAGTCTTAAAAATGGGCATGATACGAGGTGCTGTGCGTCATCTCATTTGTTTCCTAAACTCCCAGTGCCAAGTGCTTTACCTGTCACCTCCCAAAAGGTTTCCCCTCAGAACTCTCGCCTTCTTGTTTTCCTCATTTATTACAGAGCTACTTGTTTAGGCAGACTCTGTGCTGTCACTCCGTTTACTGAGATGTTTCCCACTGCCACAGTTGTTAATATTTGCACCAATAAGCTGTAATATGGTCGCAGCCTCCAGAACACCTGCTATGGCTGTGTCTAGAGGTCCCCCCAGAGCCTCATGCAGTCACAGGTGGGGCCTTTTCAGAGGTGGCTGGATCTAGAGTGTGTGAATGATTCATGGTACAGTGCTAGGATTAAGGGTGGCTGATTACTGAATCAGTCCACTGATTGGTTTGGCACCGCCCGATTCTAGTGGCCTGGATACAGTGTAAGGGACAAAGAGAGGCTTGTCTTCTCCCTTGCTTGCTTTGCTACCTTCTGCCCTCCACGATCTGTTTCTCCTCTGGGATCCCTGTCTACTGTGCCGCCCTGCCTCAGAGCCAGCCAACCATGGACAGAAACCTCTACAGACTGAGCTAGATAAGCCTTTCCCCCTTTAACTTTGGGCGTCAGGTACTTCATTTCCACAGTGGGAAAAGTAACTTAAGACAACACCATTCCTCCAAACTTTTGCCTCAAGATTTGCCAGAAATAAGTGTTCAAAGGAACTTGCTTTGGGAAACTGGAGATTTTCCTGTGAGTGATGTGCTTGGGCTCAGAGAGGGGTATTTCAAGCCACTGTGGTCCTTCCCTGGTACCTAGGCACATGTCACTCACTAGCGGGTTTATAGATTATGAGCCTCTGCTACTTTTAGAAATTTGGACTACTTGTCTTCTTCCTTCTGAATACTTTATAAACAGATTCTGTTGTACATGACTTATACCAAGACATTTTAGGTCTTCAGTTGTTCTAGGGAAAGGTTGCCACTGTCACTGTTTACTGTCCATAATTTAAATAATGTATGTTAAGCACAGATACATTCTGAGAGTTTAAAAGAAAAAACTTCAACTGTAGCTATTATTCTAGGATTGGACATATATTTATTTTTACTTTTTCCTTGAGGTTATTATCTCTAAATGTACAAGGAAATCATGGTGTAGAAGAGATTTTGTTCTGCTTCTTACCATTTTAACATTATAACTGATGCTGACTCTTAGCCCTTCCCGGTCATAACAGCTAAGTTTGCTACTAAAAATGTTGGTGATTTTGAATAATGTTTTCAAGTTCCCAGGAGAAACTACTGCTTCCAACACATTTCCAGGAGTTTTCTGAACTGATATTTTTATATTTATTTTAAAGAGCTTATTTTTCTGCTTTCTTTAAAGCAAAGAGAAACCAACCTTCAGCAAGCTGAGTGTAAACAAACCTACATCTGAAAGAAAAGTGTCTGTGTTTGGTAAAAGGTAATGGTACTTTTTATTCGTTCTATTAAAGGAATTCTCATCGCCTTGCATTGATACAGTCAGAAAACAAAACTTAGATGTCGTGGTCTCTGGAGAGAAAAATTCTTACCTGGTCTTCCTGTTTGAAATAATTAAAATATTAAGTTATACCTGCTATACCTGGTATTAATAAATACATTAACATATTCAGAGCACTATTTGTTATAAGTGATACTTAATTAAAAATCAAGTTCACAGACACTGTGAAGTCATAAATTACAAAATAAGGCAGAATTATCCTGTAGTCCAGAATTTGAGTTTTGCACTCTTAATGATTAATGAGGGCACCAAAGAACGTTTGTTTTGTGGGCTATAATATTAACCATCTTAGAAAGAAAACTGAAGGAGTTTTAAAATATAGATTCAGTTTAACAGAGCAATAAGCCCATTAGGTGGTAATCATAATTAACATGTCTGAGGGGAATTTGGCCGTGTGGTTTTTTGGGGGTTTTTTGTTTGTTTGTTTTGTTTTTTTGTTTGTTTTGGGGGGTTGGGTTTTTTGGTTTGGTTTGGTTTTAGATTTTTGTTTTGAGCGGGGATGGGGGGAGTGGAGGGTTACCAGCGATCAAACACACAGGTCCTGTGCTTGTGAGGCAGGCAGCGGAACCACTGAGCTAAATCCCCGGCCCTTGGCTGTGTTTTGTTTGTGTGTTTTTTTACTTTTTGGAGACAGAGCCTCACTCTGTAGTCCAGCCTATCCTTGGACTCACTGTGTAGCCCAGGGGAGCCACGAACTTGAGATCTTCCTGCGTGAACTTCTAAGTGCTAGGATTATAGAAGTGTGCCACTATGTCTGGCTGTATGTTTTTAATTAAAATCAAAACAAAAAAAATTTCATAAGCAAAACTGTCTTCGTGAAGAGGGTGACATTGGTTTGCAGTTTTGCGAAACTTGTTAATATCTGGCTTAACGGAAGATGGGTACATTTTCCTATCTCCTTCTGCCCTCAGTCTGCGCAGTGCCGGATATCACGTAACCAGCCTCTGGAAGAGTGCTCGGTAAAATAGACTATGGGAGGAGCAGATAACACCCAGTGTTATTACGCAGATAGACCCGACTTTTCGGCGGCCCCTAGGTAATAACACGGAGAACCTCCAGCTGGAGCAGCCGCGCAGGTGTCGGGACTGGAGGCCGGGAAGGGTTTGCTGCCTCAGGCTGATAAACGTCTTACTCTGCCCTTCTCGCCTCTGTGGCCGGGCTTCAGATTAAACTTGACGTAAGACGGATTAACGGGAAAATCTGTGCTTGTGGTAGGACCTGGGGTAAATGACTTCACCTCTCCGTGCGTGCCCTTCCTTATGTCTAGCAGCGGAGTCTGTGACGGTGTCTCTGGATGGGACTGCTCTGAGGGTTGCTCAGAAGAGGGGAAACGAATATTTACAAAATGGAGCATTTGTCGAGCCAGCTCCACAGGCCAGACATTGTTGTAAGCGTTTTGTCCTCGGTGACTCCTAGTCGGTTCCCAAAGACCGTCGAGGCCCGTGAAGGAGTTGGGAGTAAGACAGCAGTCAGGAAGGAGTCGTGGCGGTGCGGGGTGGGGACTGCAGTGAGCTTGCGGGGTCTGGGTGCCGAACATCAAGCCGTGCATGTCCTTCGGGGGTGCTGTGTGCAGGTCGTGCAGAGGGCCACAGGTTTGTTTTTATTCCAGCCTCATCTATCCAAATTATCTGTTAACTGCTATGGCCTTGGACTTCACTCTTTCTGTGCTTTAAATAGTAGGATTCTGTTTCGTTAGAGTAGAATTTAAAAATTAAACCTTAATATTGGTGCTCGTGTTAAAATTTAAAATTGCCTTGAAATAACATAGACTTGACCACAGGCACAAACGGTTTTGACTGATGTTTTTTCAAAATGTTTCCAGGACGAGCGGACATGGATCCCGAAATAGTCAACTTGGTATATTTTCCAGTTCTGAAAAAATCAAGGACCCAAGGCCACTTAATGACAAAGCATTCATTCAGCAGTGTATTCGACAACTCTGTGAGGTAAATTTATAGTTCAGAGAGACTAAGTTCTGAATGTTCTTTTAGGTATTTTCCATGATTTTTCTATTACAATATGTTTGATGGCTCATGAAAATTATTGTAGTTTCTTACAGAAAATGGTTACGCATACAGTGTATCCATGAAATCTCTCCAAGCTCCATCAGTGAAAGACTTCCTAAAGATCTTCACTTTTCTTTACGGTTTCCTGTGCCCTTCCTATGAGCTTCCTGACACCAAATTTGAAGAAGAGGTTCCAAGAATTTTTAAAGATCTTGGGTATGTATGTCGTATTTCCCCTTAGCGTGGAGAGATTGTTAGAATCCAGAGAGGAACCAAACTCAAATTTGTAAAGAATTCGAGTTAGAGAAATAACATGTTTTAAGATGAGCACTGTGAGCAATCTATGTAGTATAAATAAATTAAAGAAAGAAAAAAGTGGCAGTAGCTGTATTTGTCAGTATTTTTTGTTGCCATCCACAAAATAGCTGAAACCAGGTAATTTCTAAAGAACAGGGAGTGATCCAGCGCGTGGCTCTGAGTCTGGGAAGCCCGAAATCAGGACACAGGGCCTTCTGGCTGGGTCAGGCAGCAGGAGGTGTGAGGTGACCAGACAGAGTGCGTGTGTGGGCAGGGATGCGCTCCGGTGGCGAGGCCCCTCCCTCGGGAACCCACAAACCCGGGAATGGACTAAGCCTCGTCGTCAGCCTGTGACTTTGGGGGTGCCGTTTCCAGCACGGGGACTCTGAGAGACCGGGGTGACATTCACACCACAGCAGCTGGGCCGTTGGGAACCACAGCTGGTGACATAGGCCTGCCCTGCTGGGAGGATGGGGGAGGGGGGACAGGTGGTTTTGCTGAAGCAAAAACAACAGAATCACAGTCTGGTGGGATGAAGTTGAAAGGACCATAGAGCAGGCACAGAATGGGGAGAGGGCTTGGGCATGCATAGCTCATGCATGTAGAATTTGAGGGGATGCTGAATTGAGGAGAAAAAAGGTCTTTTGGGAGAAGTTTGCCTGTTGATTGTAAATTAAATTCTGCATCATTAGGGATTAGAGGTGCGGCGTAATCTTCAGTGAAGAAACATGGGAGTAAATGACATCTTGGAGACTAAGAAGACTAGAACACAGTCCCGACAGATGTCTTGTAAACAAGTCAGGACCGTGGGACATGAGTGCAGTTTTTGAAGTGTAACTTCTCGAATAATTGAGCCTTGATTTTTACTGTGTCCACAGAAGCTAACTGATTTCTTCCTGTTTTTCACAGGTACCCTTTTGCTCTGTCCAAAAGCTCCATGTACACAGTGGGAGCCCCTCACACCTGGCCACACATCGTGGCAGCCTTGGTTTGGCTCATAGACTGCATCAAGGTATTTGATTTGACATTTTTACATGCACACAGAGGTCACTGGGGAGGCCGAGGCAGGAGGAGTGCCCAGGTTCCAGGGCTGGGCAGTGAGTTCAAGGGCAGCCTGACCCACATGGCAAGATCAGCGAAAACATCCACAGCAAAAGAAAGTGCAGGAGAGGTTTGTTTGCGTTTTCGAAAAGATGTTCCTGTTTCTCTCCCAGTCCTGCTTTGCCCACCTATCTCTCAAGTCTGCTTCGGCTTTCATTTTTCAAAGCATGTTTGAGCGTTGCTTCTTAGAACTGTGGACACCTGAGGGGATGGGAGAATCCCACTTGTCAGAGATGATTTATTTTCATAAGGCTTTCAAGCTTAAAATCAGTAGGATGTTGCCTTTTTTTTTTTTAATTTTCCCTCGTGAAATTCATTTTTCCTCTTTTTATGTGAAAATGTATATTGATTACAAAAACGTTTGGAAAGTACCGAACGAGGTAGCCATCATCTCCTGACCGAGACAACTGAAAGCGTTTCTGTGAATGAGGCTCCTGTGTTGTTTTCGCAGCGCTGGGCAGACCGTCCACCAAGCTCCCCGCCAGCCCTAGTGCTTTGTCAGTCCACAAAGGTGCAAGGTCCTGTGCCCACGCGGCGGCAGGAAACTGGCAGTGCCTGGCCACTGAGCTTCCCTGGCATGGCTGGTGACACTGGTGAGGGTGAACCCCTCCCCGCGCTGTCGGACACGTGACCGTCACTGTAGTGCGCAACGCTGGGTACCGCACCTGACGCTCCCTACCCCCAAGAAACGCCCGTGCTGGGCCGGGGATGCAGCTCAGCGCGAGGTCCCGAGTTCGATCCCTGGTACCAAAAAAAAAAAAAAGTGTGGTTACCATACTGCATTTTTGTTCCTTTACAATGTGCTCCTTATTCTTTTTAAATGCTTCGTAGAGCAGCGTTAGGACACGGCAGCCTCACGCAGCTGTGAGCACCGCACCTGGGCTGGAGCCCGAGGCCGTGTCTCCGGATGCCTCACCATGAAGCGAGGCGTCACTGTACAGCTTCTCAGGCTTTTGATAACGTAATGATCATCTCCCTCCTGGAACTGAGGAACCAATTAAAAATTCCTCAAGAATGTGTGAGCATACCCGTTTTCCCATGGTACAAGCAGTGTTGCTTTACAGTAACCAATTCGTGGGTGAAAAATAGCTTGTTTTAATATACAGGTTAATGAAGCACTCTATACTTTGTTATTTGTATCTCTTAACTTCCCCATACATGCTTTTTTATCTTGGACTACTTATATACCAAGTTTATCAAGGGTTCGGTTTGGTTCGTTCTGTTATTTGTTTTGCCCTGGCTCATCTCAAACTCCTGGGCCCATATGATCCTCCTGCTTCTCAGAAACAGCCAAGACTATACCCCGCTTTTGCTTTCAGTTCCATCTGCCAGGAATGCCCCCAAGTCCACCACCTCTGTGCAGGGGATTGAACCCAGGGCCTCAAGCTTGGTTTGTTTTGTTTTGTTCTGGTACCGGGAATCGAACTCAGTACTTTGCACTTATGAGGCAGGTGTGGCGCCACTGAGCTAGATCCCCAGCCCAAGCTTGGTATTTTTCATAGTTGGCAACATGTCAGACCAAAGGAAGATGGCTGATTTTCTTCATATTCACATGTTTTTGTTTTTAAAGTGAACATTTTTCACGGCTTCTTCACATCAGCCCTTTCTGACTGACTTTTTTTTAAGATGCCATGTTGTTTTCTGGGGTTTGGTTTGGTTTTGTTTGCAGGTCTGACAATAAAGCCCAGGGTCCTGCCCTTGCTGGGCAAGCTCTCTGTCGCTCAGCCCCAGCGCAAAAGTGCCACTTCGTAGGTCAGAGTGGTTAAGTTCAGAAGTTAGTCCTGTCTATCAGGCACTGGTACCACCCCCCATCCTTTTGATTTTATGTGCTGTATTTCAGCTTTTCCAAATTGTGGATTTTTACCCCTTCTATTGTAATCCTTTCCTTTTTTTTTTAATCTTCTGAGTTTCCTGTCCTACTTTGCTGTAGAACCCTTGAAAACTAGTATAGTCCTTCTGACATTCTCTTGGCCATAAAATAAAAACCTTCAGCTAAACCTAAGCAGTCAGTGGATGGATGGATTTTGACCTAGAAACCATGCCTGAGGTCCTTTTAGCTCTGGCAGTTGCCAGGACAGGAGCAGAAGTCCAGCGCCACGGCCTGTTAATGAGATGTGAGCTCTGTTGGACTTCACGGAGGACCCTGGTGCATACGACCAGGCTGGCCACCGAGTGCCCTCACCTGCGGGTCCCCTGTGTGGGCAGCACCCCTCACCCGTGTCTTCCTGAACAGCTCAGTGGTGTGATGCCTCGTGAGCTGTGCAGTCTCTGCCGTGGTGTTGAGAGGGAGGAAGGGACCTTGAGATGCCTCCGGGGCCCTTATTCAGGCTGAGATCTCCTCCTGCTCCCTGCTGTGCCCAATGTCGCCCTGTGGTGAAGAATCGGGGGAGACTACAGGTCTCTTGTTCCAATGATCCTTCCCATATATATCGCCACACTTAGACCTCCTTTACTTCCTCTTTTGTTTTGTTTGGCCTTCATTTTTTTCCCCTAGTTTTTGTTTGCTTTGTTTGGTTTGGCCCCTGAAATGGGATCCCACTGTGTTGCCCAGGCTGGTCTTGACCCCTGGGGGCCAGGTGCGCCTCTGTCAGCTTTGTGTTGTTTTAAACCATGATCTGTGTACAGCTTCTTTTAGCTTAAGGGAGAAGAAGCATTCATTTCTTCATGTTCACTCGTACATCGCAGTATTGACAGAGCCGTCCCTGCCGACACTTGGAGCTGTGCCCCTTCCGGGCTGAGATGGACTTCTCTGCCCCTTCCCACACCCCCGTACCAACCATTCCAATTCCTGTCTTTTTCTAATATCATTTGCGTTAGAAGAAAATTCTTACAGCTTTTTACAACGTTCTAGCTATTTTCAAATCCTTCTCACTCTTTAATTTTTTTTTTTTTTTTTTGTACCAGGGATCAGACTTGGGCCTTCACACTTGCGAGGCAGGTGGCGGCACCACTGAGCTAAATCCCCGGCCCCTAAATTATTTTATAAATTCCCAGAAATAACTTGGGATCTTTTGTTTCATTAGTATCACATTGAATTCATAGATATATTGGGAAATTCCCATCTTGATAATGAGTTGTGTCATTTGGGAAAGTATTAAATCTTTGATTTATTTATATCTTTTTGCTTTCATCAGTAAGGTATAGCTCTCTTCATTTCAAGTGACATTTCTTTTCATGAACTGTTTGTTCCAGTGTTTTGTTACTGAGATGAGCAGATTTTCTTTTATTTTTTTGGTCGTATTTCTAAAAGTACTATTGCAGAGAATTTTTTATATTTACTACTTACTATTGCCTTATTAATACTATTATCAGTTGATTTTTATCGTAACCACAGTCTTTGAATAAAATGGTTTGTCTTATTATCTACTAATGATGTATTCGGGTAGAGGGTAATGTTTTTCGTATTGAAGTTTACCTACTTTTATCAAGAATGGTTGCAGAAGGCTGTCCTGCTTCTCTTACCGATTGACAGAATGCGTTGTTTACCTCACGTCCTCTGTTTCCTCACTGTGGATTATTCCTTTGCTATATACTGAATCGTTGGTACTTTGCAGCTAAAGCTTGGTTCTTGTCTCATGTTCATGGTGCCCCCTCGCCCAGAGCTTGGCCCCCGGTAACCCGCCTTAGCACCTGGCTAGGTGAGCTGCCTGTGCTCTGGGGATCCATGGGGCCCTTCCAGTTGGTGACCACAGTGCCGGGGCCCAACTTAGCTCAAAGCCCTGAGTCCCTTCCCTTGTCTCAAGTTTCCCAGTGTGGAGAAGCAGTATAGAAAACGCCACCTTTTTCTGACAATGGATGGCTTGGACTTTTATGTCCTTTTCCCTCTGTATGATTTCAAGTTGAAACTATTTGAGCCACATCTCAGCTCAGACCTTTTCAGTTCTTGCAGTAGAGGCTTCCAGTGGCCCCCGGGGATCTGTTTGTCCCTGGCTGAGACCTCCCTTGAACCTCACAGAGTGGCAAGTTTTCACGAGGCTCCTTGAGAGACAGCAGGAACTCTTTACCCTGATGAGCAGCTAGACTGTCCTTCGTCTTGCTCTGTCTAACGTCCAGGCTTACATAAAGCTGCTGTCACCTGAGGCCCAGTTGAAGAGGACAGGTGGGGATGAGCTGACGGTGAGCTCCCTCCACCCACTGGGTCTACGGAAGACCTAGAGTGCCCTTGGGATAGGAAACAGCGGGGAAGACAGTGACTCCGGGCCACAACCCTGGATAAGGAAATGTCGTCCTTTTGCACAGACACCACTTCTTTTATCAATTTGAAATTTAAACAACCATAGCAGTTCTGAAATTTTGTAAGATTCAGTCTAAAGTTCCTATTTATGTGTGCCAAAGGAGACCGCTGATAACATTTGAGCACCAAAATTGAGTTCATATAAGAGAAATAATTATTATTGGTTCACCTGTAACCTGACACTTCTCTTGGAGTCTTAGGGTTGTGTTAAAATTTGTGTGTCCTTACTGGGTTAATAACAAAGATCAGCATATTGTTGCCTATGGAGCAGAAGTAAATATGGAACCCATGCTTTATAAATTCTAAGGGGGTTAGTTACTAAATACCAAGAGTCATATTTTGAGGCTCAATATAATCTCTTAAAATGAAGTTATAGTCGTGCAATTAAATGCTTCTAAAAAATGCCATTTAAAATGAATTTAACAACACATGAGAGCTGTGTTTTTAATGCAGTACTGAGTGTACATGATATGTTTGTGTAACAGATACATAATGCCATGAAGGAAAGCTCACCTTTATTTGATGATGGGCAGCCTTGGGGAGAAGAAACTGAAGATGGAATTCTGCATAATAAGGTACCATATGTTACCATAAACTATAATGAGTTCTTTTGTATTATTAACCAGATTCGTCACTATTGAAATTATTTTGTAGAATTTATCTTTTGTTTCTTAAAAAACTTGTAAAATTGGGTGTTTTTTTTTTCATTAAGTACGCCAAGAAACTTGAAAATGTTAATAAGTAAGTAAAAAAATTCAAGAGGCTAGGCATTGAAGTACCCGCCTGTAATCCCATCTACTCAGGAGGCTGAGGCAAGAGGATCACAAGTTCATGGCCAGCCTGGGCAACTTAGCAAGACCTAGTGTCAAAATAAAAAAATTTTTAAAGGATGAGGATGTAACTCAGTGCTCTTTGAGTTCATTTCCTCTGTACTGAAAAAAACAAATATGCAAGGGCATTAGAATTAAACAGATTATATAGTGTTTCTTTTCCTCTATCTCATAGAACAAAGATCTCAGTAGAGTTATTCCACTGTAATTCTGTCAGTACAAAACATGATAGATCAAATCTTAAAATACTGCAAGTAGGGCTGGGGATTTAGCTCATTGGTGCCACCACCTGCCTCACAAACACAAAGACCTGAGTTCGATCCCAGTACCAATAATAAATAAATAAAATGCTGTATGTAGATTCTTTGTTTATTCATTTTATTCTGAACTTTTTTAGTTAGGCACATCGTCGCCTAGCTCAGAGATACCTCTTTTCAAAGTGACTGAGATAAAGGCAGCAAACAGGTCATCCAAATTATTTCTCCATGTTTTTTGGAACACAACTGATACTTTATATGGAACCCTAAGCATGAGACTCGCCCAACCCCATTCTCTAAACATGCAAATCTGTATTCACATGGAATAAACACCACTGTGAGGATACATTTTAAATGTTGCATGCACAGATGATCCATGCCCACACATGGTCAGAAGAGAAACTGTCCTGCATTCTGATTTTAACCTTCACCCTTTGGAGCCTTTACCATAAAAGTTTGAAAAGTGAAAGTAATTCTAGGCTTGTCTTTCACTGCTGTTTGAGAAATAGTTCAATGACATCTCAGCTTACTGGCATGTTATCATTGCCGTTTTCCTTACAAGAATAAATGTGCCCCTTTACTGTTTCAGCAGAGATCCCAGCTGGGGAGGCATCTAGAAAGCCTTTGTTTCTCTACTTTCAAAAAAAATTCTCCCCCATTGCAATATATATGAAATACATTTAGTTTTACCTCAGTTTGCATCCAAATACAATTACAAACCACTAATTAGCTATTCAATTTCTGTGTGTGTGTGTGTGTGTGTGTGTGTGTGTGTGTATGTGTGTGGTACTAGGGATTGAACTCAGGACCCTGCCACTTGCGAGACAGGTGGCGGCACCACTGAGCTAAATCCCCGGCCCTCAATTTCTTGATATATTCATCTAATGATAAAACCAGTAAAAGTTATTCTTGCCCTATGAGCTATTATTTCAAATGACAATTTATAGAGAAGCACTTTGCAAACCAGAGTGCTGTTTTTAATTGTAAAGATAGATTATCTAACTTCACCTGATTCTTTTTTATTTTTCCACCAGATTCTGATCCTTAGTTGTGAGTCTACAAACTCAACTTTATTGTAATCTATAAAGATAAAAATTGGCCAAGCTTAAGCAAACTGATTCACTCTTACCAAATTCACAAGAGATTGACCTGAAGTAGAATGAAAATGTTTTCATTTACCATCAGGGATACACCTTTCCGGTTCCAGGAATATTCACAAGGCGTTTAGGGTGCCCGTTCCAAGTCAGCCAAGTAATGAGGAGGTTGCAGAGCAGAGAAAGGACACAAAGGGAATTGTTTTGTCTCGGGAGTTACTTCTAGAGTGTGGAGAATTCTGGTCGCCTCCTCACCTCCTAATAAAATATGCGTTCCCAGTGAGCAGAACACTTAGGACTACAAAATGCAGTGTTACTTTCTCTGAGCAAACCTTAAGAACTCTAAGGCCATGTGTGATGGCACACACCAGTAACCCTACCTACTCAAGACCGAGGCAAGAAAGTTTGAAGCCAGCGTAAGCAGCATAGCAAGATCCTGTGTAAAAAGGGGAGGGAGGGGACACTAACATTCTACTGCTGAGATCTCTGATTACCGTGCCATTCTTAGACGGAAGTTACAATGTGATGCTTAGCCTCTATTAATTATACTCCGGTTTTCTCACACAAGTAGACCCTGGCATTTCAACTGAACTTAGATGATCCGTAATTCAGTTCAGTTCTTCATAAGGTGCCTTATTCCTAAAGATGATTAAGTTTCTGCATTCTATCTTGGATTGACTTATTAGTACGTGTCTTGTTCAGTTGATCTGAAAATTCTAGAGATATAGTTTACTATTTTGAAATAATCACCTTTATCCAAATTAAGTGTTGTTTTTCATCTTCATCCTACATGTGTAGAAGTAGACCAAGTCTGTGCAGCGTAATTAATGGTACAGGTTTCTGTCCTTAAATCCGTGGGAATTCGTGTAACTACTGGCTTCTTTTTTATTCAAATTGAAGTTTCCACCCTGAAAAGTCATGACTTTGTTTGTAACGTCTGCTCAACCCCGTCAGTTGTTTTTGGACTACACCATTAAATGCTACGAGAGCTTCATGACTGGCGCTGACACCTTTGAGGAGATGAATGCGGAGCTGCAGGCCAAGCTGAGTGAGTTCTCCGAGCCTGGGCTGCCGCCTGTTTGGCCATCGCTAGTACTTATGTGAGCTGCCTGCTTTAGATGCGCGTGGATGCCTACAGATTTTTATCCCTTGGTTTCTCTGGTGGAGAGAAGTAATAGCTAAGCAGAAAGAACACTAGTGTTGGGGTCAGATCTGAGACAAAATCCACTATAGGCTGTGTGAACTTAACCAAATGCCTGACCTCTTTGCCATAGTAGGTGACAGGGTAATGAAATACCAAACACACTTCTAGGAGCACAGAAGATAATTAGCAAATGTTATTTCTCTTGGGAGTAATCTTCCTGTTATGTCTTTGCTGTACTATATGAGAAATTAAAGTACCAATTAGCCAGAGGGCCTAAGTCTCTTAAAACCTGTCAGACAGTTACTAGGCCATTGTATTTCCAAATAAACAAATTACTTTTTCACTCTAGTGACATTCACAATTAATTGACTGTCAGGCGTGTTGGCGCATGCCTGTAATCCCAGCACTCTGGAGGCTGAGGCAGGAGGATCGCTGTGAGTTCGTGACCAGCCTGGGCTACATAGTGAGTTCCAGGTCAGTCTCAACTACATAGTGAGACCCTGTCTCAAAAAAAAAAAAAACCACACACAATTAACTAACACTTAAGCAATTTAGGGTATTATTTTGTATTATTCTTTGTATTGAAATTGCCTTTTAGGGGCCGGGGATTTGGCTCAGTGGTTCCTCCACCTGCCTTGCAAGCACAGGGTCCTGAGTTCAATCCCCGCCACCAAAAAAAAAAAAGAAAGAAAGAAAAGAAAAGAAATTGCCTTGTATGTAAATGTCAGAGAGGTAGATATGACAGGTGAAGATGTCTAGAGCTGTTCCTCTAAAGACAGTGGAGTTGATCAACAGGAGACTCACCTTATCACTTGAGGCACAGAGAGCTAAGGTGCTCTCTTGTACTCCCCTGGGAGTGTACCTTCCAGAAGAGGGACCTAGTCAATCTCAGTCGGTCCATATGGGGGAGAGCGAGATGCATGATGCTTTGTTTTGAGAGAAGAACCTTCCCAGTACTCTAATACAGAGAAACTAGTGAGTTACTTGGTATTTCTGTGTCTAATTACATATATAAATGCACCTACTTATCCCCATAAATTTTTATTGCATAGCTACAGTGTGCTAATAACCGCGTAGCGCTGAGGATACAGTAATAAACAAGAGTGAAAATAGTCACCGTGTGAGCTCACATTCGAATGTCCAGACAGGGACTGTAATGAAATGATCAACTCTGAGTCACATGGTGAAAGTGCTGTGGAGAAAAACCAAGCAGGACAAGGGGAGGAGCAGTGGGGTGATGGAAAGGGTTCGTGATTTTACCAGGGCCAGCCTTCCCGTCACTGGGGGAGTTCTGAGCAGGAGCCAGAAGCAGGGAGGGAATGAGCAGTGGTGGAAACCTGGGGCGGAGGTCAGCTGCCCATTCTTACCAAGTTTGGGGGTTTTTTATCTCCAGAGGATTTATACAATGTCGATGCTTCCAAGCTGGAATCATTAGCTGCGAAAAACAAAGCACTGAATGAACAGATTGCAAGACTGGAGCAGGAAAGAGAAAAGGAGCCGGTTAGTAGATACTTTTGTGTGCCTGCGTTACAGCTCTAAAGACTTGGGTCTTAGAAAATACTAGCTGTGTCAAAATTTTTAAAACTGGTTTAACAGGGCAAGGGATTTAGCTTAGTGGTTCCAGTACCTGCTTTGCAAGCTCAAGGACCCAAGTTCAATCCCCCATACAAAAAAAAAAAAAAAAAATGGGTTAACAAATTAAGCTTCTTAAAAGTTGGATTTGTACATGGGGTAGAACTCCCAACGAAAACATGTTTTGCATCTGTGGAGCTTTGTTTTCCCTCGTGTGGATTCGTCTTGGTCTAATGGTTTTCAGAACATGATGAAAGATTCCTGCCTCCTTACACGAGCCCGTGAGCGTCACTTCAGCCAGGTCCCCGAGGCGCACACCTCCTGGGAGCGCAACTCAAGAGGCCCTGAGATTCGTTAGTGAAAAGGCAACAGTAATACATGGGATTATACAAGATCCTGAAACCTGACTGGTCTCTAAAATCTAATACCAGTATCTTGATTTTATTTTGCATGCTTTTAGCTAAGCACCCGGACTATTTAGTAAAAATCAAATTCTAAATGTTTATTTTTTTTCCCTCTGAATTTTTATGTCTGATTTTTTTTAATATCTAAAACTGACTTCTTAAAGTCCATCTCCTTAAGTGTATAATAATAACGTACTCCTCTTTTACTTCTTTTGTTGCCTAAAAATGAAAAGAAAATGCTAATTTGCCATTCTCTGAGATAAACTTAAATAATATTTCTTTCCTTTAAAATAAAGAATATGTCAGGAGACTGAGGCAGGAGAATCACTGTGAGTTCGAGACCAGCCTGGGCTATACATAGTGAGACCCTGTCTCCAAGAAAATAAATAAATAAATAAATAAAATAAAATAATAAAATAAAATAAAGACTATGGAAGTAGGCCAGGCATGGTGGCTCACACCTGTAATCCCAGCACTTGGGAGGCTGAGGCAGGAGGATTGCTATGAGTTCGAGACCAGCATGGACTACACAGTGAGTTCCAGGTCAGTCTCAACTACATAGTGAGACCCTGTCTCAAAAAGCAACAACAAAAAAAAATAATAATAATATGGAAGTAATTCACTATTCTTGTCTCTTAAAGAATCGTCTAGAGTCTTTGAGGAAACTGAAAACTTCCCTGCAAGCAGATGTTCAAAAATACCAATCCTATATGAGCAACTTGGAGTCCCACTCTGCCATTCTCGACCAGAAACTGAGTGGCCTCGATGAGGAAATCTCTAGAGTAGGTAAGAAGAGGCTCTGCAGATGGGCGTGTGGACCTCTGTGGTTCGTCTCATGTGAAGATGGCAGTGCTGCCCGTACCTTTTCACCTCCTGTGATAAATGTTTATAGCAGGCCACCACGTTTTCAGTCCCTTCTGTGTCGGAGGCTGTTATAACAAAGTATTACAAACTCAGTGGCTTAAATAGTAGAATTTTATTGTCTTGCAGCTGTAGATGCTGTAAGTCCACGACCCAACCAGTCTGCACTCCCTCTTCCAGCCTCCGGTGGCCGGCAGCACCCTGGACTTGCGTCCGAGTGGAGGCTGGGCCTCTGTCCTTTCTTTGCCTTGCGTGGGTGCACCCTCTTCTCTATCTGTGAGAAGTCCCCCGGTCTGTATCTCTCAGGGACTCTCATGATGACATTCAGGGCCCACCTGGTTAATCCCAGAGTTAGCTTCTCATCAGCATTCTTAGTCACATCTTCTAAGACCCTTTTCCCAAATGAGGTAATGTCTACAAGTTCCAGAGATCGGGACTTCAAATACCTGGGTGGCCATAACTTACCCTACTCTACCTTCAAGGGCATGGCTTTTTGGAACCAACAGGGTGTTGTTACCCTAAGAACCTATATGGCCCCGGTGTGAATATAAATTAAATGACGTATTCTAGGCCCGGGATGTAGGTCAGTGGTAGAGTGCTTGCCTAGCATGCATGGGGCCTTGGATTTGATCTTCAGCACTGTAAAGAAATTAGTTAACTAATGTATCAAAGCAATAAACAGTTAAGGAAGTGTTCTATATACTCTGTTCTACTTTGTAGTTAATGAAGCAGATTCTTGATGTCTGCCTGAGTCAGGTTACTTTACCTATCTCATCCTCCATCACTACCTTCTAAGCAGCTGAAACTGGTTGAAAATAAGATGAAAGCTGCAAATACAACAATTCTAGGAAAGCAAAACCATGACTAGAGAAAGCTTGTTGATACCCTATATCCTCCTTGCTTTGCTTTCGTAAAGATATATCGCTCTTACTCGTAAAACTGGAAGACACCACGGCACAGGATTGCTTGCCAGTCTGTGGTGCCGGAAGTACAGCAGAAACGGGGGTCTACAAATCACAACCACAGGGCTGGTTTGGCCCGACGTGATGGTGCGCGCTTGCAATCCCACCTGCTCGAGAGGCTGAGGCCAAAGGATCACTAGGTTGAGGCCAGCCGAAGCACCTGGGCGAGACCCTTTCTCAAAATGTTCAAAACGGTTGGGGCAGTGGCCCACGAGCAGAATGCTTGCCTCGTGTGTGGAAAGCCCTGGGTTCGACCCCTCGTAACAAAAAAGTAAAGGAACAGACAACCATACTGTTGTCCCAGGACTTTGCTCCCATACTTTATTCTGTTAGGACTTTAGACGTACCTGTCCCTTATAGGAGTTGTGTGGATTCTCTTTCGACTGTTTGCTTTAACTCAGCCTGTAGCATGTCGATCATCTGTCAAATCAAGGCTTGTAATTTTCCACAGTACGGTATTTGCTAAATCGGTTTATTATTTTTTCCAGATGACAAACGGTTATAAACGAACTCTAAATATTTTACATTTGTCCCCTGGTCATTTGTCCTGTGTTGGTCATCATGACAGGGAGCCAAGGAAGAATTTGTTATTCTAACAAATGTAATGTAACTAAGTCAGTGCTTTCTAACATTAATACTCTATCTTCCTTGTCCACGTATAACCAAGAAAATCATCATACCTTCTGTTTATTCTGGTGGGAATTTTTTATCCAGGAGTAGTTGCAAACTGAGTAGAGAAAGTAACATTTCAGCTATCATTTGTCATTCTAGACTTAGTTTGGGAGGATTAATTTTATCACTGTTAATTTAAGATGTTTTCATTCTATGACTATTTCAGCTTTCTTCATTATTTGAAGCTATTTGTAACCAAGAGTGAATAAGACATAATTAAACTCCATAGATGTATGTTTTGGATTGTTTTTCTTCAGATACTTATAATAAAATAAATTTGACTTAAATTGTTAAGTAAAAAGAAACACATATATGCAAGATGCATAAATTTTTACTTAAACGAAGCATTAATTTATTTCAAGCTCAGCTATGGAGTGATTATTATAACAAAACCAAGATATTGGTCCTCCCAGCACTCAGGGTGATTCTCATCCCCATATATTATCCCAGTCTACTGTAAAAAATACTTTCATATTCTGTGGAAGCCCCGAGTCACAGAAGGTTGGAAAACATTCTTGGTAAATAGACCAAGCAAGAACCTAACCAATGTCCATAGAACAAAAGCCAAAAACAGGTTTCATTTAGTACATGTAGCTTGATGTTTGTGAATTATTCCGAGAATTGTGCAGGAAGAAGAGAGAGACTACCTCTTTTAAGTGTAAGGATTCCTAAGTGTAGCCATTATTTTTTTCATATAGACCTTCCTAGAATACATAGTAAGCCAGTAGGGAAATAAGGTGCTCACATAAGGCCTTGATTATATTCTCTTCAAGAATGTTATTAGCAAAATGGGATGAATCAGAATCATCCAAAAAAAGAGGAAGTATGAATATGTGTATAACTGGTATATTTAGATCAGTGCTATTAAATAATAGCATCCGCTCGTTTGGAGAAGTTGAAACTTTAAAATTTTGGTTTTCTCCAATGCAGAATCAGAATGTGAGGCAGTAAAACAGGAGAATGCTCGGCTACAGAACATTGTTGATAACCAGAAGTACTCGGTCGCCGACATTGAGAGAATAAATCACGAAAAAAATGATTTGCAACAAACCATCAATAAATTAACGAAGGACCTAGAGGCCGAACAGCAGCAGTTGTGGAACGAGGAGCTGAAGTACGCCAGGGCCAAAGAAGCGGTAAGTCACGTCATCTCCAGAGCGGCCCCTGGCCGCCCTGACCTTGATGGACGCCTGTCCGGTCAGGAACTCAGCGGAGAAGTTGTACTGACATGGACCGTGACCGTTATTCAGTGCACCCCAATTTCTCACGGTCAAATCTAGACTCTTGTGACAGTGAACCAAGGAGTAAGCAAGAAAGCCTCTCAGCCATGACAGTGATCCCCGTAAATCCCATCCCGCTTCCTCTGTAGGAGAGGAAATGAATCCCCCTCACTTTCCTATCGTTTCTCAAACATTTCTCTGACACTCTGGCATAGAAACAGTACAGACAGCCGTCATCGCGGTGCGAACCTGTAACCCCAGCTGCTCAGAGGGGTCTGGGACACCTGCGAGTTAGGATGAAACACAGCTTGTCAGCGTGGGTGTGCCTGTCGGTGTGGGCGCCAGGCTTACAAGAGTAGAGATGGAAGCTTCACTTTGGGTGTCTCGAGAATCCCACTTCGAAGGCACAAGGAAATTCGTTTCTCACAACGGGTCTCCTCTGGGATCCTCTGTGCCAGTGCGGAGAGGGAGACTCATCCCACCGCGTTTCTGGACGGCCCACTCTGCCTGCGTGTTCCGTGCAGTGGCCATAGAACACCGGAGACTTGTTCTAAACACAGCAGAACTGACGTGGGGAGATAACAGGGACAAACCGCTGCAACCAAGCAGTCGCGTGTACTGTCAAGGTAGAAACCAGGAGGCTAAGGTCCTGCCTTGTGGGTGGAGTGATGTTCTCCGCAAGAGTTCGAGAGCGTGGGTCCCAGACAAGCAATTCTTGGGAGTGCGGGGAGACTTCCCTTAAGGGTAGGGTGGGGTTGAGTACAGCTCTCAGGAGGGTGTGCACCAGAAACATCCATTAGGGGGCTGAGCGCACAACAACACTCAGACGCGGGCCTCTTGAGAATGGGAAACCACGTCTAAGCTTAGGGAGTCGGGGAAAGGAACCCCGCACACTCTCCCTAGTGGTCCATCGGGGAAAATGCTTGAGAACTGGGAAGATACTTCTTGGACTGGGAGTTTACTCACAGTGAATTTACTTGTCCAGACCCCCCGCCCCCCAAAAAAATAACTGGACTCCAGAGGCGGTGAAGGAGAGGTAACATCTGCTACTGAGCACAGATGCCGTGAGGACCCCTATACTTGGGTCGAGGGAGCCACGGAAAAGCACTGGGAGGTGTAAGGTCACCTGAGAAACCCTTAAAGCTGACTCTGAGAAAAAACAGGCGCTCGGGGAAAATGCTTGAGAACTGGGAAGATACTTCTTGGACTGGGAGTTTACTCACAGTGAATTTACTTGTCCAGACCCCCCGCCCCCCAAAAAAATAACTGGACTCCAGAGGCGGTGAAGGAGAGGTAACATCTGCTACTGAGCACAGATGCCGTGAGGACCCCTATACTTGGGTCGAGGGAGCCACGGAAAAGCACTGGGAGGTGTAAGGTCACCTGAGAAACCCTTAAAGCTGACTCTGAGAAAAAACAGGCGCTGATCCCCTCTCCACAAGCTGATTTGGCTGGGATATCAAAAAGCAAAGGATAGGCTGGGAACGGGCAAATTAAAAAAGGACCACCTGTTAGGCTGGTAATGACTGTAGCTGAAACCACGGCCTCTAACTTGGAGGTCTGATGCCTGCCAAGTTCTGTCTCATAGAAGTTCAAAATGTTAGAGACAGCTCTCACAGATGCAAAAATACCTTTCTTTGCCAGAACCCTGTTCAGGGCACCACACCCCGCCTTGTGCCAGCCGGAGTGGCGTCTGGTGGACCACCTGGTGTCGGGTGGACACAGACAGCAGCCCGAGCCTCTAATAAGATGCCCCCAAAAGATAGACTGTGTGTGCGCGGGCCCCCTCCCGCTGACCCCGTCTTATAGCCATAACTGTCAGTAACCCCGCCAGACTAGACTGAGGACCACGTAACGCGGCACCTCGAGTGTGTGAGTCAGGGCCAGTGCCACAGGGTCAGATCCTTCTGGTTGAATCTAACTTGTCTCAACCTAAGGCTACCCCAGCCAACGCCCTAGCTCCCAAAACAGTGTTCCTGAAAGGTAAAATAAAGGTCTTGAGACGGACTAGAGATTAAGACAAGACATACAGCTCGAAATCCCTGGGTAAATCAAATGGGTAAATATTTCAGTACCGGCTCTTAATAAAGTCACTGCTACGCTCGCACCATGGCGGACCACAGACGTGGGCAGTTGCCTTCGCTCTGAGACGGACACGAGTGTCACAGGATGCAGTGCATGGTGGCCCTGTCTCAGGACGAGGACGCCTGGGGAAGTGAGACTTTTGAGAGTGTCGCTGCTGTGAACCAGGCCGTAGAAAATGGACCTGGAGGAGGCCCCTCCCTTCTCCACAGGAAATGTGAGTTACTCCTCTTACCTCCACTTCCGGGGAGAACGATTTTCTTAACCTGGAGGAGGCCTGACTGCCCGCACCCACATCCTAGACGTGACCGGCGGGCCGCACACCTGCTCATTTCTTCCTCTCCCCAGGCCGACGTCTGGCGGTACAGTGGGGAGAGGGACCGCCACAGTGGATTCCCCCAATGGGGCCGGGACACGTGCCTTAGTCTGGCTGGCCATTCCCTTCCCCCTGGCATTCCGTGGGCTCCCAGAACAAGAGGTCCTTATCACACATCTGTTAACTCAATCGGGGTGCCCAGAGGAGTCCCCAGTGAATTTCAGACATGACATAGCCACCAGATTCAAGTCAGTTCTGTTCTGGTGGTCAGCTATTAATAACATTGTAGATTAAATAAACTATACTATAATCAACAAAGGTTTATTAACTATCAGAAAAAAGTGTCAACTTATTATCTTATGATTAAAAAAACCGATTAATATTCAAGAGATTTTAAAACTCAAAAAATAAACCTAAGAATGGGACTGAGGATCCTATAATAAGAGGGAAAGATTGTAAGTGGTAAAAATATTTTAATTGCTACATATTTCATTCACCACTCTAATCAGCTCTTATTCTGAAAATTAGCTTGACGAAGAAGCAGATAAAGACACAAAAGATTCACACCAGAGATAAGGTTCTGGGGTAAGAGACAAATTGCTAGGCAAGTTTTTCTAAATTACTGTCCTGGGAACCCAAAAGGCTAAAAATAACTCTACAAAAAGCAACACAAAGAAAGAAGAAGCGGGAAGGTCGTAACAGTATGGGCTCAGACAGACCGTGGACCCCAGAGGCCAGGCCTCTGGGAGCTGGGGTGACCCCACAAGTCAGCAACGCACAGCCTCTGCAGCCGGTTGTGGGCCGGGTGTCCTTGGGCACTGCTCTTACAAGAGTGGATTAAAGCCTCGCTTTCGCTGCCCAAGTCCAGGTTTTTTGGAGGACAAGTAAATTCATTCCTCACAGAAAGCTTGAGTTTAAAAGGCATTTCTTTTTCCATGGAGAAAAATCGAGACTAGAATATTTCAGACTCAAGCTTAGGCTTGAAATTTTTCACCCTTGTTTTTTTAGTTATGTTTGTTTGTTAGCAAATGTTCTGAAAGCTAAACATCACCAAGAAAAATTCAGCCTCTGTTGCTATAAAAATAATGACTAATTATATCCTATTACCTCCAGCACATTCATGGTACAGTATTTATTACATACATTTGTCACCATCGTTAAAATGAAGCAAGTTGTAGCCGGGCATGGTGGCACACACCTGTAATCCCAGCACTTGGGAGGCTGAGGCAGGAGGATCGCTGTGAATTTGAGACCAGCCTGGGCTACATAGTGAGTTCCGGGTCAGTCTCAACTACATAGTGAGACCCTGTCTCAAAAAAAAAAAAAAAAAAAAATGAAGCAAGTTGTTCAGAGCAGTGGAGACAATACTAGTTTTTTTATTCTGATCACATTGTAAACTACATTATAGGGCCAGGGATTTAGCTCAGTGGCACCACCACCTGCCTTGTAAGCACATAGTCCTGAGTTTGATCCTCAAGTGCCCCCCCAAAAAAATTACGTTATATGCATAATGCAAATAGTGTCTTAGTCATTCAGGATTGAACTGTTAATATTATTAAAAGTCTATTTTACACACCTGCACATGGGATTCTTAACATGAAAAGGATGCCCAGGAGGAGCAGTAAGTGCTTCGTTGTCGGCCCTGTTTTACCATAATTCTGCTTTTCGTGTAGGCCCCGCACAGGAAAGGCGAAAAAAGCCTATGGTCGTGAGCCCAGTCCTTGAACCTAAAATTTGGGGGTTTAGCCCTGGATTTGCTCCTGACTACTTGTGCCCTCAGCCAGCATCCGACCTCTCATAGCCTCCATTTGCTTCTTGGAAAATGAAGTGAGGTTAGATTAAATCAGTGAGTCCAAAATGAGTTATCTCTCAAACTTGTGTGGGAAGGGAAAAGTTATGAATATCTAGACCAGGTGAACTCTCAAATTGAACAAAGTGGAATTCAACGTACTGAAAAGGATAGTGAATTTATTTGGACGGCCAGGATTTTGTTTGGGTTTTGAGGGTTTCCTGTTTGCTGAGATGCGGTCTCAAAGTGTGGCCTCACAGTTGGCGATCCTCCTGCCTCAGCCTCCCAAGTGCTGCAATTACAGGTATGCACCGCTCTGCCCAGCATGGGAAAAACAATTTGTAGTGTAGGTAAGCAGCAGCCCAGGGATGGGCCAGAGCGTTGCAGTGGGGGGAGCACATCAGTGTAAACGTTTCACCCATCACCTCGGTCCTCGGAGCTCCTTGTCGAGAGATGCGACAGGTTCGCCCGTGAGAATGGGCTGTAGAAACCGGAGGCACACGCACGTGCACCACACAACTGCCCTCCCTGTACTTGGCAAGGTAAAGGAGGTGAGCTTTCGAGGTCTTCTTCATGAGCTGGGCCAGGGGAGTGCAGGACGGGAGCAGCTACCCCTGGACTCCTCCGTCGGTGCTCCCTAGAGAGACGCTGTCTCGCGGTACAGCCGCAGAAATTAGTTCTGACTTGCCGGGAGGAGGCTTCCACTCCGTGCTTGAGTGATCTGATGTATTTGAAATTGTTCAATATATACCCTTGCCGTTACACTCCACCCAAGTTAGTCATTTTTACAGCCTAATAACGGCAATGAGTGATTTAAGTATTCAATGCAGGAAGCAATGTAAAGATGCCTAAAATCTGCAAATGTCTCGATTCCGCTTTTAAGCATCTACTGCGCACTAAACACTGTCCTGGGTACCACTGTTTCCCCGGCACTTGCGTTCACATGCGGAGGCGGATGAGCAGTGAGTGCTCTGTGTCCGGCGGTGCTGTGTGCTGTAAAGAAAAATAATGTAAGGGTTTAGGAAAATGGGGGCCATGGGGAAGGAAAGATTTCCCACTGACAGTCTGAGCAGTCCTGAAGGCAGTAAGAACAGGGAATGTAAAATATGTCACGAAAACGTTCTACAGCAATTTAATTAAGGGAGCATTTTGAAACATACATGATTATATTTTATTTAATACAAGTCAAAAATTTTAATTTATGATGAATTATATTTCTCTTAGATATATAATGTATTCTAATTTGATAAAGCAAAAATTTGTTTTTGTGTCATAAAATTTCTGTCTGGCATTTGAGGAAGTAAATTTTAGTTAATATTAATGCCTAAGTATGGACTTTTATTCTAAACTGATTATCAGACAAATAGAACAGTCATATAATGCTTACCAACCAGTTGTAGCCTTTAAGGCATAAACTCAGTGTGATTAAAACCCTTCATTCCACCCTTTTTCAAACTACTAAATGACTAAAAATTGTAACGTTTTGTATTAAATTATGGAAATGCCAGTTGAAAGCCATATGGAATAGGGCTGCTTTATTTTTAACATTTCTTTTTGTATTCTCTCCATACAGATTGAAACACAATTAGCAGAGTATCACAAATTGGCTAGAAAATTGAAGCTTATCCCAAAAGGTGCTGAGAATTCCAAAGGTCATGACTTTGAAATCAAGTTTAATCCTGAAGCTGGTGCCAACTGCCTTGTCAAATACAGGGCGCAAGTTTATGTAAGTAAATTATCTGATTGGTGTCTGAAAAAGTTTAAACTGCAGTACATCAATAGCCCTACTACACAAGGAAATAAAACACTGAACCTTTTTGTCTTCTTTCTTGCTAGTAGAAACCCTGTATTATACCTAACTCTTCAAGTTATAAATCCTTTCTTTATGTCTGCCAGCTTTATCTCTTCAAATATCCAGCAAGAAATTTGACTATTTATAAAACAGATATCAAGACTATACAAATATTGCTAACCTTTTCTCTCAAGATGCTTCTAGTCCCTCATGTAAGAAAAGCATGTGTAAAATAATAAATACCATATATGTGCATCATTAGAAATCTCTACAGGGTCTACAGGCCAAGGATTCAGCTCAGTGGTTCCGCTGCCTTGCCTCAAGCACGAGGGCCCGAGTTCGATCCCTGGTACCGGGAAAAAAAAAGAACAAAGGAAAGAAATCTTCACAAAGTTTAGTAACCAGACCAGCCCTTCCAGGTAGCAGAAAAAGCTCCACAGAGATGGGGACCTGGGATGAACTTTTGGAGGTGAAGTGATTGTGGGGTCTGTGGAAAGAGCCCAGGCACAGGGTGCACAGGAAGGCATGAAGGTAGCGGACCGATAAGGACCAACAGCCAGCAACGGGAGAGCCGTGCCAGAGTGTGAGATAAGACTGAGAAGGCGATGTGAGAAGAAATTTCGGTACTGTGCTAGCACAGCTTCTCAGTTACTAACAGATTTCGTTATGTTTGTGGCCCCCCGTGACAATTTTCCAGCTGCTTATTTTGTGTTAATAGAAGGATGTCAATAAAAGCCAAAAGCCATACATTTCTTCCCTTGAGAAGAAACTCCCTTATTCATTCAGCAAATATTTAACGAGTGCATGTCACGCTCCAGACCAGCTCTGCCGGAGAGAACTACCGAGGTAGCGCTACTGCTACTGCATGGGTTAAATCAGGCTGGACGTCTTTGCCTGCTTTGGTGGACGTGGGGAAGGGCCGGGGATGGAACCGGGGCCTCGCACATGCCGGGCAAGTGTCCACCACTCAGCCGCACGTAAGCATCCACTCGCGTGCTGGACGGTTTCTCACAGGGACCCTTCTGGGTAGCTGGGTAGTTACATCCACTCAGTCAGCGAACAGGTAGGCAGGCAGGTGGTTTCCTCACCACCTGGGACAGCTTCGCATGGCTGATGCAAGGAAGTAATTACCTGGGTCAGATCACGTGAAAGTGATTACCCAGTGCAAAAAGAATGCATATGCTCAGAAAAAGAATCAATAAAGTCCAACTCCAAGAGTTACATATTCGGGGAGAAGTTCTTAAAGAGATGGTAGGAGTTGTCATATCTTTCAGAAAGGAGCAGATGGGCGCCAGGTTTGCAGCTGAGCAGTAGAGCACATGCTACCTTGTGAAGCCCAACTTCGGTCCTCAGCACCAGAAACAAAAAAAAACTTCAGAGTTAAAACTCAATTTCAAAAGATGTTAAAAAAAAAAAAGGAGATACGTGGTCTTTTGGAGAAATGGAACTTGTGGAATCAGAGGTTTTATTTATATTACGTTGTACTAAAAGCCACTAAACTGCACACTTTAAAAGGTTTAATATTAAGTGAAATGTCTTCTAACCCATTTCAGTCTAACCCTCTTTAAATGTGGATTTCAACGCAATGAAAGCAAATGAGAAGAAACAAAGTTTAGTGTTGAAGTAAAGTCAGCAGCCAGATGTGGTTACCGAGTCCTGTGCCAGATAAAAAGGGTGACAGGTGTAGCTCACCGGTAAAGCACTTGCCTAACCTGCACAAGGCCCGAGTTCAGTTCCCAGGAATCAGTAGAACAGAAGGTCAGCGTAACAAAAACAAAGTGTGAAGAAGAGGAGGCCACAGCGACCCCGCAGACCCACCAAAGCCGAGCGTCACCTCCCTACGCCCGGCACCGAGGGCGGTGAAGCCCAGGCGGAGGGCCAGCCTCCGAGAAGACCAGCAAGGCCCAAGCCCCAGCGCAGAAGGGGCCCAGAGGGGGAAGGTGACGGCAGCCAGCCGGGACGAGGACAGCCCTGCCAAACGTGCAAGTCCACACAGACAGGCCCAGAAAGCTGGAGGGGCTGGAGACCCCAAGGGAAGAGTGTGCATTTTGATTACTGTACACTTTGAAATACTATTTTTACCAGTCTTTTATTAAAAATGCAGAATTTTCTTTTCCTTTTCCTTTTCCTTTTTTTTTTTTTTTCCTATGCTGTCAGCACACAGAGCACTTCGCATTTCCTTGTTGCTTTTTTGTTGTCGTTTGTTTTTTGTTTGTTTGTTTTGAGACAGGGTCTCACTGTGTAGTTGAGACTGACCTGGAACTCACAGTGATCCTCCTGCCTCAGCTCCAGAGTGCTGGGATTACAGACATGCGCCACCACGCCCGGCTTCCTTGTTGCTTTTTGGGTGCAGTGCCTCCAAAGCTGGATCCATATGGGGAAATGCCCTCCCCCTGCTGGTGCTGAAACTTCCCCAGGCTCCCAGGAAGGATTTCCAGGCATTGACACACGTGGCCGCCTTTGCACAATGCCTGATAGTGTGGGAAGACTCCATTTTTGTGTCCTCCTCCTCTGCCATCAACAGACCTAACTCCCTGAAGCCCAAAGACCCACCAGGACCTGATCCCAAAGCAGCCTGGCTAGTGACGCTGGGATGGTGTCCACCAAAGAGCCGCGGTCCCTTCTCTAGGTGGCGGATCTTCAGATGGATAATTGTGCTGTTTTCATTTCATTTCCTAAAGTCGGGCTGGCTGTGAAAAGCTGTTCACACCCTGCATATGAAATGTCAGCCCTCACTCTAAACTCTGCTCATTCGGAGCAGCAAGTGTAGGTGTATCCAAGAAGGGAGTTGGAAAGTTGTTGTATTTTGTAACAGTTGTGTGCTCACGTCCTGCCTGAAACATCATGATTGTTTAGGAAAAGTATCTTTAATAAAGCTAGATGCAGTTTAAGAAAAACGAGCAGAAAGTTATGAGACTAAACAAAGACGATTAAAAGAAGTTGATGCATGTGGAGACTGTAACAACAATACAGCTCATGCATGTAAACTGTTTTCCAGAAAATACCACCTTAAACTTCACGTCCTTGCAGAATGCTTGCGTAATATCAGTGAATTTCCAGAATAGAGGAGGAGATCTTGAATTTTGCAAGTATTCGAAGCAAAAAGCAGTTGATCTTCCTCAGTTACAGAAGTTACATTAAAAATGTTGTTTTCTTGTGTGTGGTATCTCAAGATTCAAAATGTCATGACTTTTTCCTCCAGAAATGACTCATCACAGCTGTGTAGAGGCTGCATAAGAAATTTTGTAATTACACATCTTTTGTCAGCCACATTCTTCTGTATTTTATAGGTACCTCTGAAGGAACTCCTAAATGAAAATGAAGAAGAAATTAATAAAGCTCGAAATAAGAAAATGGGTTTGGAGGATACTTTAGAACAAGTAAGTAATGAAACAGACTTTTAAAGATTTCTTAGACAAAATTAAAAATAACTTGTACTTTTTTGACGCTTACAGAATTACATTTTTATTATAATTATGCAAAAGAAAGGTGGCTATAACCTTGAGAGAAATATTTAGAATAATTTAATAAGTAATTTAAACATCTCATGCTTTACCTATCAGTAAAGTGAAGTGGTCTGGAACAAAAGTTCTGTGTGCATGTCTGTCTGTCTGTCTCTGTGCATTTGGAAGAGAAAAATGTCCTCCTTAAAGTAAAATACTTTAATATTTGTTTATATTAAAATAGATTTGAGGTTGCTACCTTGAAAGTAAGTATAAATCATTAACAATTAGTGGCTCTGATAGAGTAAGACGTTTGTTTTTACCAAGTTTTCATTCTGTACCTTGGAATTTCAAGAGGACTTGATGCCTGTAGAATTCCATTTTAAAATTAGTTTTGAGACTCTATCTCAAAAGAAAGAGGGAGAGTGAGTTTTATCACACTATTGTTACTGTAACTTGGGGTTTCCAAAATGTTGGACTATGGAACGAAGGTGAGGCATTAGGACTGCCTTCACAAGTGCCCCATGAGTACGACAATTATTTGAAGTGAAGTCTTTCTTTAACCTGCTTCAGTTAAATTTTGCTTTTTTGCTGAAATTTGCACTAAATCTGGAGATTCTCAAAAAGGTCTGAATTCCAAACAGGGACCTCATTATTGAACATTATCATAGTTACTTGTTCTCATTGCTGAGGCAAAATACCTGACACCCACAAGTTAAAGGATGAAAGGTTTATTCTGGGTCACAGTTTATAGTTGGCTGTTTCCAAGGCAGGGTGGCACGGCAGAGGGGCCTGGCAGAGGAGAAACAGTCCTTGGCAGGCAGGCAGGCAGAAGACAGCAAGCAGCAGTCCTCCTGCCTTCCACCTCCAAACTCTTAACCCTCCAGAAAGTCCCACCTATGAGCCTGTGAGGCTTTGGAGGATGTCTAGACACAAACCGTATTTTTCCAGCTGACTTAAAAGTTTTTAAAGGCTATAGCAGGAGAAGTTGGAGAAAGAAATACTAAAATAACTACTGTAGTCTGGGCCTCATGCTAATGTTCTAAAGATAAATAAAGGCACCCTTCGGGGACTTCCCTTTGGGGCAAGGCTGGAGTGCAGTTATGCTGATTAGATTTGCACGTTTGAAAACCCTTTTGAGCTGTAGGAAAATGTGTCTTAGAAGAGATGTACCTGAAAATGTCAGGAGACTGAGCCAAAGAATTTTTAGTAGAAACAGAGGAAGGGAAATAGGTTTAAGAAATATTTAAAAAGTGAAGCCCAAGGATCGACTAAATGTGCAAACTTGGAGACAAAGAAGTGTTTCTTGAAGAGAAAGAAGTTGTAGGTTTCTGGTGAAGGCAACTAAATGAGCTGCAGTGCTCTCGCCTCGAGGAGGAGAGATGAGAGTAGAGGGTGTCGAGGACGCTGATGTGGAACTTCTGTGGGACAGCCAGGTAGACGTTGCAGTGATGGACTCACAACGCTGGGCGAGTCCTTGGGCGCACAGTAACCGAATCTGGATGTGGGTGGCGTTTCCTCGAACCTAGAGGAAAGTGGCTGAGGATTGAATCCTGAGGAGTAGCACAGAAGGAACTGCCAAAGAAAGGAGATTCTGGAAAAAATACTTGGAAGTGAACAAAATAGTTGGAAGTCAGTCAGTCAGAAGAGAACATGCTATCAAAGCCAAAGTAGGGAAGCGTCTTTAGGAAGGGAGTAATCAGTAACGCCACACACATAAGATGCTGAACCTTTCTGCTTGACAGTTAATTTACCCAAGGAAAGGCATAGGACAAAATAGCAATTGGAAGCGAGGTGTGGAGGAGCGCACGTCTAATCCCAGCCGTTTTGGAGGCTGAGGCCAGAGCTGTTCAAATTCAAGTCCTGCCTGAGCGACCTGGTGAGACGCGGTCTCAAAGTTTAAAATTAAGTAAATAAAAGGGGCTGGGGACAAAACCTAGTGCCAGGGAGTCCATGGGTTTGATCCCTTCTACCACACACACACACACACAAAAAAAAAAGCAATTGGAAATTATAAAGGTTATACATATTTAATAAGTTGGAATAATGAAACTAATCAGTTGAAAAGTATTGAAGAATAATTGCCGAAACTATTCAAGTAAAAGCAGGAAGATGGAAAGTAAGGGACACTCTACTGAGAAGGTAGGGATTTATTTGAATTATGAAATAATATAGTATAAGCAGAGATCTGTTTAAATAAATTTGATGCAATGGATTATAACAACAGAAATCCCAAAGTTGAATCAAAAACTCAAAATACATAAAAATACAGTTGGCTTTCCAAAAAAGATCTAATAGGTGAGTTTTTACAGTTTTCAAATAGAAAAGGTTAAATAATTTCCATGACGTGTGAATCACCATAGAGAATAAAGACCCAAACCATTCATAGGGCTAGGATAGCTTGAATAGTACAAGCTGATAGAAACATCACAAAAGAAGATTAGCTGGGCGTGGTGACTAACACCCACCTGTAGGCCCAGCACTCAGGAGGCGGGAGGCGCAGGCAGGAGGATGACCAAGTTTGAAGCCAGCCTGGACTGCAGAGCAAGACTCCAAATTTAAAAAAGAAAGAAAATTTAAACCAATCATATTTATGAATACAGACATAAAGGTTAAAGTTAAGGGGCCGGGTATTTAGCTCAGTGGTTCAGCTGCCTGCCTCGTGAGTACAAGGAGACCCGAGTTTGATCCCCAGTACCAAAAAAATAATAATAATTTTAAAATAAAGGTTAATGGGGCTGGGGATTTAACTCAGCGGTTCGGTAGCCTGCCTTGCAAGCGCAAGGACCCGAGTTCAATCCCCGGTACCAAAAATAAAGGTTAAAGTTAAGTGTTTGTCACTGAAGTTGACTCAGCAAATACAGTTTTGAGCCCTGTGTTCCCAGACCGCAGTAATCCTGGTGTAGCACTACGCATGCCCTGGGACCCATCATAACATGTGCGTAGTGCGAAGAGAGCACCCTGTGGATTCCCAGACACCCCTAAGATCTGCACGGTTCTCTGTGGAGGGAGGAAGTGCAAGCCGCCCTGAGTTGTGAGGAACAAGTAGGAACCAAGGGAGCAGCGGGACGTGGGAAGAGCCTGGAGAAGCAAGAAGCTCGCTGGGAGGAGCTTGTCTGTGCTTCCCCAGTAGGGGAATTTATTCTCCGGGCGAGGGACCGCTGAGGAGCAGCAAAGGAGAGTAAGCAGGGGGTGGGAAAAAAGTAAGAACCAAGGTATACTATGTAAAGGTACAAACTCCCAGTGATGAATGTCGGCATAGTATGTCTAAAACGTACCGATAAAATAAATCAAAAAAAGAGAATAGTAGTCGCCTGTGTAGGCCAGCAAGCTGACAGTCGTGGCATTTCCAAGAATAGATTAAAGGTGTGTGACACCAGAAACGTGCAAGTAAGAGACAGATGATAGCTGGTCAGTAAATGGCTAGGAACCAAACCACGATTTTATAGTGGAAATGGAGAAAAGAGTCGGGAAGATGGAGGCAGAGCACAGCAGTCCTTTTGTGCAGTTTAAGGAAGAGAAATCAAAGGTCCAGGCGGCCGGGCGTGGCGGTGCGCAGCCTATCAGTGCCGTGCACCTCCCGGACTGCTCGGTGTTGGACCCCAGAGCTGCCAGATTTCGGGCTGGGAAAGCGTTTGGCGTAAGAAGCCGGGTCTGATGGCTCGCACTTGTAGTCCTAGTGCTCTGGGGAGGCTTGAGACACAAGGGTCAGAACTTCAGGGCAGCCTAGGCAACTGAGTGAGATGCCGTCTCAGGAAATAAACAGGGCTGAGTTTACAAGTGGACTAGAGCACCCCTTGGCTGCCTTTATCCCCAATTTTTTAAAAAAAAATTTTTTAAGACCTTCAGTTTTGATTTCAAATGATCTCAGAGCTCAAACTGTAGCACAGTTAACTGTGGTTACTTTATTCCTCTTTGGAAGAATGCATCGCTATAGCCAAATAGCAGGTATTACCCAGTAAAATTAATATAAACACTTCTTTAACATGCAAATGGAAACCTAAATAACTAAAGTCTAATGAAAATAGAGCTAATGAACAAAAAGTCTAATGAAGCTAGGAAAGGAAAACATTCCATACTTATGAATAAATTGGTAATCACAATATTAATAACAAGCACATAAAATATGAGAGCTTATAAGGCACTACCACAGATACCAGTGGAAAAACATATTTGGATTCTTACTTTAAAGTTTCTTTGAAATTAATCCCTCTTTAAGGAATAATAAAATTTTTAGACAAATGATAGGTTAGACAGAGTCTCTAAAAGGACCAGAAGAAATAACATGGTTCAGTTAGTTAATCAACCATTAAAAGTTCAGTAACTTGTTAAAACTGCTCTGATGTGTAGTTATGATTCCTCACCCAAAGTTTCTTTACCCCCAGTTGAATACAATGATAACGGAAAGCAGGAGAAGCGTGAGGACCCTGAAGGAGGAAGTTCAGAAGCTGGACGACCTGTACCAACAGAAAGTCAAGGTGAGGGGCCGGGGATTTGGCTCAGGGATTCCGCCGCCTGCCTCGCAAGCGCAAGGATCCAAGTTTGATCCCAGGTACCAAAAAAAAAAAAGTCAACGTGGGAGTGTTGCCTGTGGTAGACCAGACACATTGAAAGTGGAGCTTTCAGCAGTATTGGATACCTCGTGCTTTAATTTTTTAGTTTAGTCTCCTATGCCAAGGTTTATTGTAAGGAATTACTGTGCTTTATTTCGTCTTTTAAAGGATTTTTTCACCGATCAGGCCCATTTCACCATAGAACACTTTCTGTTCTGTTGTCTCATACTCCGTGTTCAGTACTGGTACAGGACTCGGTGTCCTGGGAAGACGGTTTTCAAACACCTTTCTGCCTTCCTATAGTGATTCATATGTTGCACACTCCCAAAGCTTGAGTCCCCAGCAAGGTCTTCTGTGTGTGTGATTGCGAACTGGCCGGCCTGGCCAAGTTCCAAAGACCACTCACATGAACTCTAGCAGGTGGGGAAGAGAGTAAGATTGTTTCTCCACCCCTCATTCCACTGTCCTACATTTTTACTGCTACACCACTCTATCTGACATTTTGCTTAGAAAAGTATTCGGATGACTCAATTCATTACCACAATTGACGTGAAAATTTCACTGCATCATTATTTTTACTTCGTTATGCCAACAAAGTATCAGGAACTGCAAACTTCTTTCTTGACCTCTGTTACATTTAGGTCTTAAACATTTTGTTAGCAGTGTGAAATGTATAGAAAATATACCACAATGTCACACTTGGTGATCATTTTCAGTTCATCAGATATCCTCATGAGAAGCCTTGAGTTCATTTTCTGAAGCAATTAAATGAGTTTATGATTCTCACCTATTTCATCTTCACAGACATAGAAATTGGTGAATTAGGGCTGCTTTGCTTGTGCCTAGTCAGTGCAAAACAATGATTTAGATTAATTCGTGCTCAGGAAAAAAATTAAATTATCATAATTTCCTGTAAGTCAGACCTGGAAATATTGCTACAGAAAACGCCACCCAGGCCTCTTGCTAGGGCATCGTTTGTGCTTGTGACACAGAACTCCCAAAGGAGCATTTAAAGTCTCCACGTGAAAAGCAGTACGCCTGGGATTACAAATGACGCAGCGTGACCTTTCAGAGGGCGTCCCATAATTTCCTTCCACCCTCCTTGAGTACGTAAAATTCGAACGTCACAAGCATGACCGTGACTTTCCCCTGCTAGGAAGCTGAGGAAGAGGATGAGAAATGTGCCAGTGAGCTCGAGTCCTTGGAGAAGCACAAGCACCTGCTGGAGAGCGCGGTCAACGAAGGCCTGAGCGAGGCCGTGAACGAGCTGGACGCCGTGCAGCGGGAGTGAGTTTCCCCGCCACGAGCCGTGGCTTCCTACAGTTTCTGATGACCCAGATCTCATTTTCCCTACACCTTCAGTAGAACAGTTTAAAACCTGAAGCGCACCCTGCCACTGTTACAGTCCGCCCACCAAGAAATCGTTCGTCTTACATCTAATCCAGAAATGGCTTTTAATCCCTGAGACAGCATGTGATTTTAAATCAATTTAAATAACTGACTACTGGATGGTAAATTTTCATAAACCCCACTAGGCTTCTCATATATTCTAGTTATATTTCCTAGAAGTTAGGATTATTCTATATCAAAATGTGATTACGCTATAAATCACCGCCTACCGTAACAGCATTTGCCTTACTAATAAATAAGTGCCACACTTTGCAGAATAATGCAGTAAAAAAAAATCACAGGACTCGTGGGAAGATTGGTGTTGGGGCGTAATCCTCAAAAAGTCCGTCAAAGACGCACATAAAGGGTGAGAACCTAGTCAAATGTTAGCTATGCACACATCAAATGGTTAAGATAAGCATAAGTGCCGTAGTAAATGTGGCGTCTCTCACCTTAGACATACCCTCGGTCTGCGCCGGTAAGGGGGCCCCTGTGAGTTTCTGTGCAGAGGTGGAGGGAGGGCACAGACACGTGAGGTGCGTTCTCACACTCTCGTAACCCTCTGTCTGTTTTCTGCATTCACCAAGGAAGAAACTGGCATCACGAAAGTTGCATTGTGCTGAGTACTACACTGTGGTCATGTCACTTCTTGATTTTTGTAATTTACATAGAAAAAATTGTGGCCAAACTCTAATAACGCTAGCTGAAAATGGTGGCATCCTTTCTTTAAAAAGTACTCTGCCTTTGTATAACTCTCTTGTGAGACTTATGTAAAGTCAACATACTGAATAATTCATAGTCTTCTATGGACAGGTAGATAAATATATACACTTTGTACAAGTCTTACAAGGTCCTCAACTGAAAATTGTTTACATTGAAGTTACAAATGTAAGCTTTAGGGAGTCACCCCTTTTCATTTCTTTATTTGTAGTGTAGGGTTAAAAAAAACTCAATGATGGTTTATTTGATCTCCAATTTGTTTTGGATTTGAATAAAGGTAAGATTTCTATTCATCATACTCTCAAAATTTTTTCTTGTGACCCCATGGTAATAGGTAAGACAACTGGGGTCTGGGGATATAACCCAGATAGAGAGCTCTTGCCTAGAATGCGGGAGACCCTGACTCAATCCCCAGCAACCCCCAAAAAAGTAGAGGTATAACATTCTATGTTAAAGCAGGAGGTTTTGGTGCTGTTTGGCTTTAGCACTTGCAAAGTGTGTTGGAAAATGTTATTTCTATGTCAGTGATTGGAAACTGGCCCTCTGTGAATTATTTGTATACTAAGCAGTACATAGACCAATCACAGCTTGGCTTTATTGAATGTGGAAATAGCACCTGAGGTCATATATTAATATAATAATTTATTGTCTAGGCAACTTAAAGAGTGTTTATTCCACAGGTACCAACTAGTGGCACAAACCACAACTGAAGAAAGAAGGAAAGTGGGAAATAATTTACAGCGTCTTCTAGAGATGGTTGCCATGCATGTAGGGTCCGTGGAGGTAAGTGAACATCTTTCCTGTATTCTAAGAAAGGTTTTTAAATCTTTGATGTATTTCTGCTTTGTGTCTATAGAAATTAAATGATAAATTTTATTTCTATTGAAATCATCTAATAAAAATTTATCAGAAGACTCCCGTTTCTGTGGTAAGGGGCAGAACAGGTGCATTTTATAAAATAATCCGTGTTGCTCATATAAACAACACACAGTGACTTTTTACATCCGCAGTGTATAATGGTGTTCTCTGTACTGAAAGCGCATTAGTACATGTAGGGTTTCATTAAGATTAAGATGAAAGTGGGCCGGGGATTTAGCTCAGCGGTTCGGTGGCCTGCCTTGCAAGCTCAAGGACCCGAGTTCAATCCCCGGTACCAAAAAAAAGATTAAGATGAAAGGGCCAGGGGCTTAGTTCAGTGGTGCCACACCTGCCTGGCAAGCACAAGGTCCTGAGTTCAATCCCCAGTACCCAAAAAAAAAGATTAACATGAAAGAGCATCAGTTGTTTTTCCTTTCTTTAATTTTATTTAAACATCAAACCAAGTATTCCTGAAACAAGAAGGTTGTTTAACCTTGTCCTTCTCACATAGCCACATAGCTAAAAAGATCAGCAATAAAATTGTTCCTCCAACTTAGTTTTTCTTC